TTTCATGACTGTGCATGTCGTGTCATATAATCTATTGGTGCCTATTCTCGCTGAACAGCCAGGATATTACTATAAATGCCAACCACGATTTCTTGATGTAGACTATCGCTGGAACCTGATTCAATATCAATTAAAAGAAGAAATCTTAAATAACGCAAATACAATCATTTGCTTACAAGAACTTTGTCGTACACTGTTACCGTCAATTAAACAATTTTTCCTTCAATTGAATTACAAATTGTATTATAACCTCTATGGTCAAAAACATAATGATTACATGGGTGTCGCCATAGCCATTCCAAGTTCGATGAAAGTCACCTCTATTGCAAATATTAACATTGGAGATGAATTAAGCTCACTGATAAAAGAGAAACGTGCGAATATCTTTGCATTGGGAGACAGACTTTTGCAAGCCTTGAAGGAGAAACCTACAGAGCCTTTATCTGATCCATGGCAAATTGCCGTGAGAAAAAGTAATATACTGCTCATTATACAAGTCATCATCAATGGAAAACATTTATGTATTGGAACATATCACATGCCTTGTCTATATACAAGACCGGACGTTATGATAATACATTCATCTATGGTAAAAGACATGATGTTTCGATTGGCCAATGGTCAAAATATGATTCTGACTGGGGACTTCAATATTAAACCTTGGAAAACGTCGTACCGTGCGATATTAGAAAGAGGTTTTATTCGTGGTCGCCTACCATTATCGAGCATTTATTCAATACATTATCATCCAAATACTGAACAGGTATTGAAAAGTGCTTATCTGGAGAAGAATGGATCTGAACCCGCGTTTACAGCCTTTTCTTCTACACCAAATAGTCCTGACTTTTGTGCCACAACTGACTACATATTTTTTGCTGGCCATCTCACTGTCGATAAAGTATTACCACTGCCAAGTTATCCCAACAGTGAATCTTATCCTGATGCAAAACATCCGTCGGATCATCTGATGATTGCGGCAACATTCCGATTTAATTAAGAAGATGTGTAAATTTTCTTTCTAAGAAAACACATTAAATAAAATAATGCACACATAAGCTGAATAAGGTGTGGATGTGTAAGGAAAGAAAACTTGCATGTACGTCTACTCAAATCCAAGCTGTATATCTAGCCGAATTTCGACATGCTTCGAAACCTTGTCTATATGGTACCCTTTGTTTTGATTTGTTATCAGTTGATGTATCTCATTGTGCTTGTAGTTATCCATATACAGGTGTTCATTGTCAAATACAAGAACGAGATTGTCCTTAACGGACCTGTAGTGATATGACGTCAGATAAGGCATTTCCTTATCTGTGTGCATGTTACACTGAGAATGGTTCAGGAAAAAAGTTTGTAGCACTCAATAATAGTCATGACGAAAATGTAATTCATAAAGCTCATGATGACAACGAACCTTATTTTGGGGCTGTACCATTTACTAATAAAGCCTTTTATATTTGTGTGCCTGCTGTGGAAAATGCGAGTGTCAGATCATGTGATTTAGGCCATGTATGAATTCACTAGTGTAAATGTTTTCTCCATTGCTATGCAGAATGGCTTTCACCCATGTACATTTTTTGTTAACGTCATCTAGAAAAAATGTATAAATAAAAGATTTAATAAGGTGATCAATAAACTGAAATAAATATATTCCAAAAATTTTCAATGATTGGTGAACAAATCTAGATCGATTACGATCAAACTATGAATGATGAATTTTATTAACAATAGTTGCGCATAATAAGGAAAATTATATTAGTACAAACGAATAAATATCGTATTTGTTATATTAATACACAATGAGGGTGTGGGTGTGGGTGTGGGTGTGTGTGGATGTGGGTGTGGCTATTTTCCACACCCACATCCACCCACACCTTCACCTCCCCCCACCTCTGACAGGTCCACTTTTCTACACGTTGTAACGTATTCAGAAGAAATTAGCAGTCTCCGCGTGACCAAAATTGAGCTTTTTCACCTTGTCTACAGATTCGCTTGCAAAAAGTTATGATTGAAGGAACCATAAACAAAAGAAAACCGTAATAAGGCTCATTACATAAAAACTCGATTTTGTTGAAGTCACGTATATTTTCGAAGAAAATGGTGAATGTACGTTTTCATTGCGAGGTTTTGCGGCTTCCCCTCCCCCCCCCTCTCTCCCTATTGTAGATACACAGTAGCGGAAAAGAAAATATTACAGACATGCGCCCCCCCTCACGAGCGGCCGCGCCCCGCCCGCCGCGACAGCGAGGGCGCCGGCCGCCGCGCGCGAGGGCGCGGCCCCGCCCGCCCCGGCGG